GGCGCCCGGGCAGGCCCGCACCCGAGTCACCGCACGCGGGAACCCGCCTCGCAGGGTGTGAGCCGGGCACGCCCAGAGGGGATGGTGCAGCCCTCCCGGATCGCCAGCGCTCGCTGCCCAGCACCCTCGGAGAACCCCGTCACCTCCCCCTGGAGCCCCACACCTACTTCTAAAGGCGATGCCCGCGTTGTTGACAAGCACGTTAAGTCCCCCATACTCCTTGCGCAGAAAGTCGCGCAGGGCGCGGATGCTCTGCAGGTCGTCGATGTCCAGCTGGTGGAAGCGGGGGCTCAGGCCCTCTGCCTGCAGCTGCTGCACAGCCGCCTTGCCCCGCTCCTCGTCCCGCGCGGTGAGCACCACGTCCCCCGAGAACTTGCGACACAGCTCACGCGTGATGGCAAAGCCGATGCCCTTGTTAGCCCCGGTCACCAGCGCCACGCGGCTGCAGGACGACATATCGGAGGGACACGCGGACCACCGGCTTGCAGAGCCGGCTGGGCAGCGGGCCACCCGTGGTCAGAACCGTGGCGCAGGACTAAGTCCTGGGACCCGGCGCTGCAACTGCTGGAGAACAAGGCCCTGGGCGTCGGTCCCTCCCCTCCGAGGAGGGGCCCTCTGTTCGCGAAGGTCCGCCTCCTCCCTCAGGCTTGCGGAGTAGTGATCCGGCTCGGAGATGAACGTGGGTCAGGGACCTGCTCCCAAAAGAATCTCAAGGCGTCAGCAGGACTCGTGGCAGTCGGATTGAAGCAACTATTTTGGGGGAATCTCAGAAGGAAGAAAACAAGTGCTACGTAATTTTCTTGCGCTGGAGCCCGTCGATTTCTGCAGAATGTAAAATTTGCTTCTGCGGAACTGAGATTACTTTAACACAGAGCCGCTGTAGAGCGGATTCCCCGCGGCCTGCTTTAGGGAACAGAGCCCGGGAGCAGACTTAACAGGTGTGGGCGAGCTCTGCGCGTCTGGAGGTCTCGGTGCGCCCCCACGTGGGAGAGCAGGTTCCAGTTTACAGGACCGTTTTATGTATCCCGGACACCTACAGGAGCCCCCAGCGACAGCGTCTGGTTTTGCCCAAGTGTACCCGAGTATGTACATAGGTCGGAAGGGCTCTACATCGACGCGAACCCTCTCCCAAGGAGACTCTGAATTCGGGAACAAATTCCAGGCGCTCTAAGTGTGGGTATGACATCCATCAGACTTCCTCCCATCTTCAGAGGAGTCCCAGTCTGTCTGGATCCCAGGGATTGGCTAAGGGCAACTAAGCCCTCACGGTGACTCAGCTTTTCCCAAGCCGATCCTGTCAAACTTCCCTAGCCTCTTGCTCCCGACTCCACCTTCTCTTTCAAAAGATCCCGGAGGTCAGAAAGATGAGCTCCGTGGGGGCCTAGTGTGCCTGTGATGGTTAACTTGAGAGGACCTAGAAGCACCCTGGAGACAGACCTCTGGGCGTGTCTGTGAGGGAGTTTCTCTACTAGGCTGACCGGTGGGAAGGTCCATCCCTAAACTGGCAGGATGGGATGCTGGGCTGAGGCCGTGGAGCTGGTTCAGCAGTAAAGGTCATGAGGACTAGAGTACAAATCCCGAAGGTCCACATAACCAGGGGCAGGGTGGCTGTAATCCCAGCCCATAGGAGCCAGAAACAGGATTCCCGGAGCAAGCTGACAGAGTCTGCCTCAAAAAGTCGGACGAGATGGATAGAGGATGAAGGTCATTTGATGTGAACCTCTGACCTCTGCACTCAAAGGTACCACACCCCACACACATACACATGCAAAAAGAAACAACGTGAGCTAAGCACTAGTGTGCAGCCAAAATAAACCTTTCCTTCCTTCCTTCCTTCCTTCCTTCCTTCCTTCCTCTCTTTTCTTTTTTGGGTGGGGCAGGGTTTCCCTGTGTAACAACCCTGGCTGTCCAGGAACTCCCTCTGTAGACCAGGATGGCCTCGAACTCACAGAGATCTGCCTGCCTCTGCCTCCTGAGTGCGAGCATTCCTCTGCTTTCTCTCCTAAAGACCCGTGGGGAATTTGGAGTGTTGTTCTGTGATAGTTCACTTGCCTAGCATTCTCTTGTGTGTGAAAGTTCCTGAAGAGAAGCTGTGTCTGCTGTGAACAGAACTCCAGGGAGCAGTCTGTGTCTGCAGAGACTGATGGGCGGACTGGAATTTTAGTATTGTGGAGGCATCGGAAGTTTGCAGGTTCAGAGGCTAATTACTTTATCTTAGGCTAGTTTTAGCTTCTGGACGGGCCTTGCCCAACTCTGTGTCTGAACTAACAGCTCATGATGACAATAATTAAATCCTCTTAGGAGTTATTAACTCAGCAGGACATTAGCTTCCACCAATCCAAGAGCTAAGAATGCCATCAGACAGCACCTGGGCCTATAGCGCAGCTCCTCATCTCTTGGTACCCGACTCTGGTGTATCCGCCAATGTATTTTAAAGTTGTCTTGATTTATGAGTTTCTGTGATCTTTAAAACTACAAAAACCTCCATGAAACTGTTTCTGTGTCGGAACATGGAGCTGGGGATAACCTAACTCTGTGTTCCTCCAGACATGGTCACTCAATGGCCCCAGAATAGACTGTCTTGTTATGGGAATTATTTTAACTATGTAAAGATATGTTACAATTGTTTATGCTGCATTTGTTTAGAGATATAAGAATGTGTGTTTAATTATTAAAGATGTGTTACATTTGTTTCACCTTGCCTGCCTAGGGAACCTAATTGGTCTAATGAAGAGCTAAGCAGTCAATAGCTAGACAGAGAAAGGTTAGCTGGGACCTCTGGGGACAGAGAGGTCTCTGGGAATAAGAAAGGCACAATTGCCAGCCCGATGCAAAGGGAGCAAGACACACAGGAGGAGAGGTAAAAGCCATGACTCACGTGGCAACAAGTAGATGAACAGAAATTCGTTAATTTAAGGCATAAGAATTAGTGGGATAAGCCTAAGCTATAGGCCACACTTTCATAATTAGTAAGTCTGTGTGTATGATTTTGGGGTTGGCAGTCCAAAGAAGCCTGCTACACTGTCTCTTATTCCTTTTAGGATGAGAACTGTGGTTTTTATGTTAACACCTGGTACTGGGGAAGTAAAAAGGAAACTATGTTATGTGCATACTCTAGGGCTGGTAACATGCTGAGCTGTGAACATCCAGTTCCATGGCTGCAGGGGTCAAAGGACGACTCCCAACATGGGAAGTTGTCGGTTAGGGTTCGGTTCTCACTCTAAGACCTGGAACTCACTCTGTAGATTAGGCTGGCCTCGAACTCAGAGATCTGCCTGCCTATGTCTCCAGAGTGACTAAAGGGGTACACTACCACTGTCCACTCATCCTAAGATTATTAAACAAAGGGGAAAGGCACTTGTCACCAAGCCTGTTGACTCGAGTTTGATCCCTGGGGCCAACATGAAGGGAAAGAATTGACTCTGGCAAGTGGTTCTTATTTAAGGGCACGCACACACATGAGAGCACACACACACACACACAAAACAAATGCAATAAAAAATTTTTAAAGGAACATAGTTCTATTTAATTTTACCCTCCCTCCCCCTCTCCTTCTCTCCGTAGATAAGATCTCTTGTTGCCGTCCAGGCTGGCCTTGAGTTTAGGATGACCTCGGACCTCTCTCACTTCCTGCTGGAATCACAGACATGCACCCTCTTGTTTCTTTCGAGTGTAATTTTTCTGACACAGCACTGGTGTTTGCTTTATTTCATGTATAGGGTCTGCTTTGCTTTATTTCAGATACAGGATCTCACTGTGTTGCCCGGGTTTGTCTTGAACTCCTGGTTCCAGCACTCCTCTGGTCTCGGTCTCCAGCGGAGGTGCTGGTTCCACAGACACATGCCACTGTCTGGCTCTCTCCCCTCTGTCTCCCTAACATATCTGGCCAAGATTTAACATCTTCAAAAGAAAATTTCCCAAGGAAGCCACTTTTGCATCCCTTAATCCTTGTTTCTCCATTTCACCTGATTATTTTAATTTCTTTTTTGATTTCCATTTCCTGCTTTCTGCTCACTGTGGGTTTTATTTGCTTATTAGTCTCTTGAAGCGGAAGCCATGTTGCTGTTTTGAGATGCTTCCTCGTTCGGTGGCATTCTTAAATATCGCTTTGTTTTTGGGTTTGGGTGTTGGATCTAGAGCCAGAGGCCAGGTAAGCTCTCTGATGCTGATCTATAACGTCAGCCCCTTCCAGTTTGGCTTCTGATACCTTTTTTGACCAATGTTATTTAGAGAAAACTTCTTTTAATTCCAACTATTTGGTAGGGTTCTCTGGCTGTCTGGCTGTGGATCTCTAGCAATTCCGCTGAAAACAGACAATAAACTCCAATGGCATCTTTCTTTAAAGAAGAGTGCACACCCTGTAGATTGTCAAGGGAGGAGGTTGAGGCAGGCTGGGTTCCGGCTGACTTAGACGAGCATGGGCAATTCAATAAAGCAATATTTTCTCTCCCCCCACCCCCAGCCCTTGATATGCACTCCAGTATGCTCTGGAATTTGTCATCCTCCTGCCTTAGTCTCCCAAGTTCTGAGCTTACAAGTCTGTGTCATCATGCCTGGAAAAACATGTCTCTTAAAAAAAAAAAAAAACCTTTCAAACGCTGAGGAATACTAAAGAGAGTTTCATGTAATAACAGCTATTTCAGAGAGACGTAAAAATTAGTGGAGACAGAATAATTGGAGAACAAAGTGTGCGGGAAGACGAAGGTGCCTGGTTCCAGGTGAACCATGGAAACCACAGCTGGCTGGGCCGCTGCTACTGGGTAAGGGAGAGGCAGCAATGTGGCAGACACACAGGCCTACCTCAGGTCCCACCACGGACACGGTCACGTGTGTGTTTCCCAGTAGTGATGGGTTCTCGTGGTTTAATGAAATTTATCACTTTGTTATCATACAAAACAATGAGTTTCGTTAAGATATTTTCATACATGTGTGTCACTCTGCTCATTTTCACCCGCAATACTCTCTCGTCCTCACTTCCTCCAGCACCCCTATTCCCCTACATGCGTAGTCCCCACTCTGCTCGCGTCACGCGCGTGTCAATCCGCTGTGCAGTCCCTACTCTGCTTCACGTCATGCGCGTGTCAATCCGCTGCTCGGTCCCCACTCTGCTCCCGTCACGCGTGTGTCAATCCGCTGTGCAGTCCCTACTCTGCTTCACGTCATGCGCGTGTCAATCCGCTGCTCGGTCCCCACTCTGCTCCCGTCACGCGTGTGTCAATCCGCTGTGCAGTCCCTACTCTGCTTCACGTCATGCGCGTGTCAATCCGCTGCTCGGTCCCCACTCTGCTCCCGTCACGCGTGTGTCAATCCGCTGTGCAGTCCCTACTCTGCTTCACGTCATGCGCGTGTCAATCCGCTGCTCGGTCCCCACTCTGCTCCCGTCACGCGTGTGTCAATCCGCTGTGCAGTCCCTACTCTGCTTCACGTCATGCGCGTGTCAATCCGCTGCTCGGTCCCCACTCTGCTCCCGTCACGCGTGTGTCAATCCGCTGTGCAGTCCCTACTCTGCTTCACGTCATGCGCGTGTCAATCCGCTGCTCGGTCCCCACTCTGCTCCCGTCACGCGTGTGTCAATCCGCTGTGCAGTCCCTACTCTGCTTCACGTCATGCGCGTGTCAATCCGCTGCTCGGTCCCCACTCTGCTCCCGTCACGCGTGTGTCAATCCGCTGTGCAGTCCCTACTCTGCTTCACGTCATGCGCGTGTCAATCCGCTGCTCGGTCCCCACTCTGCTCCCGTCACGCGTGTGTCAATCCGCTGTGCAGTCCCTACTCTGCTTCACGTCATGCGCGTGTCAATCCGCTGCTCGGTCCCCACTCTGCTCCCGTCACGCGTGTGTCAATCCGCTGTGCAGTCCCTACTCTGCTTCACGTCATGCGCGTGTCAATCCGCTGCTCGGTCCCCACTCTGCTCCCGTCACGCGTGTGTCAATCCGCTGTGCAGTCCCTACTCTGCTTCACGTCATGCGCGTGTCAATCCGCTGCTCGGTCCCCACTCTGCTCCCGTCACGCGTGTGTCAATCCGCTGTGCAGTCCCTACTCTGCTTCACGTCATGCGCGTGTCAATCCGCTGCTCGGTCCCCACTCTGCTCCCGTCACGCGTGTGTCAATCCGCTGTGCAGTCCCTACTCTGCTTCACGTCATGCGCGTGTCAATCCGCTGCTCGGTCCCCACTCTGCTCCCGTCACGCGTGTGTCAATCCGCTGTGCAGTCCCTACTCTGCTTCACGTCATGCGCGTGTCAATCCGCTGCTCGGTCCCCACTCTGCTCCCGTCACGCGTGTGTCAATCCGCTGTGCAGTCCCTACTCTGCTTCACGTCATGCGCGTGTCAATCCGCTGCTCGGTCCCCACTCTGCTCCCGTCACGCGTGTGTCAATCCGCTGTGCAGTCCCTACTCTGCTTCACGTCATGCGCGTGTCAATCCGCTGCTCGGTCCCCACTCTGCTCCCGTCACGCGTGTGTCAATCCGCTGTGCAGTCCCTACTCTGCTTCACGTCATGCGCGTGTCAATCCGCTGCTCGGTCCCCACTCTGCTCACGTCACGAGCGTGTCAGTCCGCTGTGCAGTCCCCACTCTGCTCGCGTCACACGCGTGTCAATCTATCTGGTTCTAGAGTAGAGAAACGGGTGGTGTTGGCTTGTCTTGTTCGTGACTTACTTCACCTAACACGCTGCTCCTTCTCCAGTCCCACTCATTTCCTTGCACTTTTCACGGCTGAATAAAACTCTGCTGTGCGCACAGGCCACATTTCCTGTCTCCATTTGCCTGTGGGTGGCGATCCAGGCTGGTTCCCTGTCTTGGCTCTTGTAAGTAAGGAGGGCTCAGTCCACATGGATGTCTAAGAATCTCTGTGGTTTGCTGACTTATATTTCTTCAGAAACAGTCCCAGGCGCAGTATAGCTGGGTCATGTGAGAATTCTGTATTTAGTGTATTTGGAGAAACTTTCTATTCTCTGGAGGGTTTTGTTTTTTAAATTTAATTTTTTATTATGTATACAGTGTTCTGCCTACATATACACCTTCAGGACAGAAGAGGGCACCAGATCTCATTATAGAGGGTTGTGAGCCACCATGTGGTTGCTGGGGATTGAACTCAGGACCTCTGGAAGAGCAGGCAGGGCTCTTAACCACTGAGCCATCCCTGCAGCCTCTCTGGAGGGTTTTTAATTAATAGGACGAACTTCTTAACTTGTCTATGATTCCAGCCCCCGAACCCCACCCCCACAAGCCTCTGTCCCTGCTTTCTACAAGGCGTCATGTAGCATGCTTAGACCTCGTGAATTCAGGAATCACACACATACACTCAGCCATACTTAGAGACATGCTGTGTTTCTTTCTTTCTTTTTATTTATTTATTTATCTATCTATTTATTATTTTTTTCATTCAGAATTTCAGGACATGTCCTGATTCCCTTGTGGGGACTGGTTGATTGACAATGTCTTCTTGTCATCACTAGACCTGCTGTGTTGCTTAACCACAGAGTAAGCACTGAGTCCTAACCAACAACCTGCTATCTTGAGGCTCCCTTTGAGACTCCTGCGATCTGTGGGCTGGATGCCCACTGGTAGACCTTCTGTGCACCATCCAGTTGAGGTTAGGTACAGGGCATGTTCAGGAGTGAAGCTCCCTGCCTGCTCCCTGGGGCTGCTCCCATCTCTGCTATTTCCTGTGTGACTCTGGGCAAGATTCCCAATCTCTCGGTACCTCAGTTCTGCCACCTGTAATGATTGTGGTGCTGGGTTGAATGACAGCTGTCAAGTTCCCACTGTGAAAATGCTGGGGTGGTGTAGGGGTGTCTCAGCCGGAAGAGCACTGGTTGTTCTCCAGGGGGACCTGTTTTTGATTCCCTGCGTCCACACAGAGCTCAGGCATTTGTAACTTCATTCCATGGGCTCCAGTGCCCTCTTCTGGCCTATGTGGGCACCAGTCATGTACCTGGGGCACAGACATACATGCAGGCAAAACACATATATACACAGAGTACATTTCAAAAATTAAATTAAAGGTAGATGCTGAATTCTTGGGTCATGTTTCCTTTAAGGTGTTTGTGGACAAAATTCTAGTGACATCAGACAACTTCCATGATCCAAGAATGGGCAACAGAAGGTTTGGTTAGAAGGTTCCTCCTTTCACAGAATTATCCCAGAATTCATGTGCCCAGTTGGTGTCCTAGTTAGGATCACTATTGCTGTGATCAAACACCAAGACCAAAGCAACTTGGGTAGGAAGAGTTTATTTGGCTTACACTTCCACATCACTTCATCATCGAAGTTAAGTCAGGGGAGGAACCTGGAGGCAGGAGCTGATGCAGAGGACATGGGGGGACACCGCTTACTGGCTTGTTCCTCATGGCTTGCTCAGTCTTCCTTCTTTCCTTCCTTCCTTCCTTCCTTCCTTCCTTCCTTCCTTCCTTCCTTCGTTTTTCTTTTTCTTTCTTTTTTCCTCTTTCTTTCTTTCTTTCTTTCTTTCTTTCTTTTCTTTTCTTTTTTTTT